ATAAAGTCGAAATTTTTATGTTAATGTTTTGTATTTTTTATTTTAAATTCTTAAAGTTAATATATCATACATATACAAACTTAAAAAAAAAAGCTTTAAAAGCTACACTAACGCTTTTTATGAGCTTTCAAAAGTACACAATCGATCAGCTGCTTAGGACTAAGAAATTGGCGCCATAATATTTTCTTTACGTTTGTGCAAAAAAATAAAACTTCTTTGTCCCGACTAAATTAAGTAAATTATGGAAATGAAAGATCAAGGTATGTAATATTTAGTGTGTATAGTACATTTATGTGTAATCTTAGTGTTCGACCTGTGTTTAATTTCCAATTTATGTGTATTTTTATAGAAAATTAATATTTGTTCCCTGTATTTAGTGGGATAAAACTAACGACCCGACGTCTGCCCACAAAAACTAAGTACGCCAGTTTGTACATGTACATGTCGTTTTTCAGCGCTAATTAACACCTTTTCCCCGTTCGTCCCCCTTTTCACGCAATTCCACACTATTCAGGGACCTTAAAGTTTCTTCTCTAGGATATTTGGCGCAGCAACAATCGAAAATTTAATTTTTTTAGGATTGCATTTCTGAAAAAATTATCAATTACCACTTAAAAGATGATAAAACATCAAAAATAAAATTAAAAAAGTAGTTATTTTGAATCCTTCCTTGTTAAGCATTCGTAAGAGAAAGAAAAGGAAATGTCTTCCTTTGCTTATAATTCCGTTAAAAAAATTACAAAAATTATTGTGAGTGTGGGGTTTGAAAGATACAGAGTTGCACTTTTGTTTTGAGTTACATTACATACGAAGAATCCGTTCGTCTGCAAAATAGGTTCAAAGTTTGCCAAAAACAGAATTTTTCCAACTTTAGTGTCCTTTTTTTTAGAATCCTTGGGTGTGAAAATTTTTTCGAGAGCACATTTAGAGCGCTGATAATTTAAAGCAAATAGGACTTTTAAGATTTCATCGAGGTATTTAAAAAAAGGTTAAATTTTATAACACAGTGTAGTATTATGAATTTGCTTGTATGGGAGGCAAAAGAGGGCGTGGTCGCACAGACTCAAAAATTTGTTTGCATACTATTCTTTGTAAAAAAACAGAATGTGTAAAGTTTGAAGTCTGTGACTCAATTTTTAGAGTTTATGCCAAAAAAATCGACTTTTGGACCATAGTGCAATGTATATGTATATGCAAGTGTATAGACGCATACCGCAAGAAAAGGCGCGCTTTTTGTAGTTTTTTGCATATTTACATACATACGTGTGTATGTATGTGAACAGTTTTGTGTGATACGAAAAAAGTGTGTCTTCGATTTCTCTAAACATACATACACACATATCCGTGCAAAATATAACAAATTAAATACACAAAAGACACATACGCAAAAAAGGCGCACTTTTCTTATTTTTTCGCTCTTTGCATACGTACGTATATGTACATGTGTACATATTTATGGATATTAGGAAAGTGCGACTGTTCGATTTCTTAAATCTGAGGTGTACAATGCACATGTACATTAGGGTGGACTTATTTTGTATGAAATTTCTAAGGCCATGCTCTCACCCCTTCATATATAGCCTCTTTGTATCCTTAATCCATTAAAGAGAGAAAAAGTAAAAAATAATTAGTTTTAGGCGGTGCGCAACGGCTTTTAAGTTTATTACGCATATTTCAGATTCATCTAGATGCCGTAGACTTAATTTTATACTTTGACAGTATTTTAAAAAGTATCTTAATCACTTTCCCGAGCTTTTTAACAAGAGATGAAGTCGTTGATAAAATTCGAGTCCCTAGGAGACAAATTCAATTTAAAAATAACAATAATAACGAATTATCAAAGACTACAATTTATAAATATTACGGTCTCTGAAAAATATTGTATCCTAAGCCAGCATTTCTTTGACGAAAATAAAAAGTAATAGTTAATCTTCAAATTGTAATATTGTGAGTCACAAAAAAAGTGGTGAGTCGGGGATCGAACTCGGTCCTTTTTGTTCGGAGACATAAGCTCTACTGGCTAGGCTACGTCCAACTGTTAATATTCATGAAATGAATTTCAACTTGACTCTTTTATTTGAGCGAAACCAAAAAGTTGACATGTTAAAATCTGACAAGAAATGGAATGGGGTAAATTCCTAGTTTTACACATAATTTTTAGGGAAACTTTAAGGCCATTGCGCACCGCCTAAACGATGAAATAAAATTTTTCTGTTTTCGCATAAATTTATTGGACACAGAAACCTACCATTTAAGATGCTGAGTTCAGTTGACCTTAAAGAAGTCCACCCTAATGTACATACATACATATGTACACCATTCATCAAGAACGCGTATTTGTGGAATTTTTCTAGGAAAAACCGCGTGTTGTGACTTGTTAACACACATTTATGTGTACATATGTAGATAAATACACTGGCAAAGCACATGTTTATTCTTGAAAAAATAATCGCGATTAAATACATTCTTAAGGGCATGTCGATTTTCTGTCCAAGTAAAGTTTCTTACAGAATTGTCAATTTTGATAGCAATGGTGTGCTTTGCCAGTGTATCTATGTATGTACATATATTGCATGTTCATATTTAAGACTTAAATTTAATAAATTAAGTATTCTTAGATGCAGAAATTCAATACGATGATTTAAAAAATATTTTAACTGAGGATGATTTGAAGGAGGCTATTCCACCTTTGGGGCCACGGTTGAGATTTCGAGAGAAGTATACAGCTGTGAAAAAAATAATAGCACCACTAACCCAAAAAAACTTTAACTAGTCACCCTACTCACATTTTTTAACTTTTTTAACTTTTCAAAACGGGTTTGAAATAGTAAGGCTAAACATAATTTGAATATGAAAAAAAATGTTAGCTTTATAAAAGGTTTCTGGACTTATTTAAGAAAATCTATGCAAAACTGGAAAAACGTACGAAAAAAATAATAGCACCACTTCTGTACACTCATAAAAAAAAATCGAAGAATTTCCTTAAAATCTAGAAAATTCTTTCTTGAATTTTTGCCAAAGGCGACCTCCCCTTTGTTTCAAGAAATGGTTTTTTTGAAAGGCACCATTAAAACAAGAAAAAATAGGGTTTTTTAGAAAGCCACCATAAAAACAAGAAAAAATATTTCTTAAAACAAGAAAGGCGATTCTTGTTTCAAAGGTGGTTTGTTTCTTGTTTCAAGAAATTAAATTTCTTAAAACAAGAAAGGGTTTTTTAGAAAGGCACCTTTTAAACAAGAAAAATTCTTTCTTGTTTAAATTTCCTTTCAAGAAATATTATTTCTTGATTTAAGAAATAATATTTCTTGAAAGGAAGTTTTATATTAACACTGAAACCCTAAAAATAAAATGTAACTTGGTTTTTTCTTTTGCATATTATATTTATTTACATTTAAAACATTTGACACTTAACATTTAAACATTTTTAAATAACACATTTTTGACTCAAGAAAACATTATTATTACCCAAGGTATGTTGAACTTCATATGGCCTAAGGTGATCAATTTTCTTCGCCTTTCCTCATCTAGAAAAAAAAGAGTTATTGGAATATCAATGATTTGTTTTTAGTTAAACAACTTTTTTAAAATAATGTAATGTTAATAATAGCCAAAATACAAACACGTTGGTCAGCCGACCCAGAGAGAGGAGCAAGACAGGTAGAAAATGAAGGCTTGAAAATCGAATTTCAAAGAGAGAGAGGCACGGGAGAGACACGTACATACATACATATATATTTACATACAGTCCTTTGCGAGAAGGGAGAACGAATGTAAGCAGGGCAGATCATGATAATTTTAAGAAGGAGAAGAGAGAAATGTCGCGACGCGTAGGTCAAGCGAGCGAGAGAGAGGAGCAGAATATGAAAGGGTTGAAAATCGGGTTTCAGATCGGGTGAGCCGCGTACATGCATAGATATTTACATGCATACATAAGTATGTCAAACAAATACAACATATTTTTCTTACCTTAGAAGGTTTTAAAACAAAATTACAGCTTCGACAAACAAATTATTTGGCTGATGCAACTGCAGGTATTTTCACTCTGAAAAATAAATAAAATGCGAGTAATAAGATAAAGTTATTATAGAACTGTACACCCACAAATTTATGTACAAATGTATGTATGTACGTAGCTCTTAGCTAAAAAACAATTCACCTAAATTGGTATACGCTTGGTAAAGAGATTTGAAATGTATCCTTTAATTACATACATACAATTGTACGCCCGCTATACAAAAAATTATATACATATTTACATACCTTTGAATATTCGGAAAAAGGCTTCACCTCTTATCCGCTTGAAAATCACGTCCATCACTCACGAATTTTTTTCACAACTGACGCTCGGGGGATCAGAGAAGTCGGTAGCCGGGTAGTAGTCGGGCCGAGTAGGCCCTTCGTCCCACTTCGTTTTTCTTGTCGTTAACATTCGGCAGCCGAAGGAAGTCAATGGCTACTTTCCTATATTCTAGGGTCATTTCATTCATATATTCAAAGGTGGTTTTGTCCTTAAATACGTACAAAAATGTTTTGGCTGCGACGGCAAAACAAACATATGAGATTTTCATTTTTCTATTTTTAAGAAAAATTCTTTCTTGAATTTTTTCCATCAAGAAAGGTTTTCTGTATTCAAAGGACAATTTTCTAATAACAAGAAATTTTTTTTCTATTTTCAAAGGTAGGCCGATTCAATGGCGAGATTTCCAAAATTTAGAAATTAATTTTTATGAGTGTAAAAATAGAATAAAAGGTAGAAAAATGACATATGGGTAACTTAATCTTTAGTTGGCGGTAGCTAAGAAGTAAATCTAAGTTTAAAGTGTAAATATCTTTTGGGATTTTTGGATATAATGACTTACTATCGATTAAACAAGTCAGGACCCTACCTATAAAGGAATTGGGGCCCAAAAGTCATGATATATTTTCAAATTTATTCGGAAATGATTTAAGACGTTTTAGATTAACTGTTTAAACTGTCTTTAAAAAAAAATCAATAGTAAGTAATTTTTGCAGTTTAAACAAGTATTAAATGTTTTTGAATACAGCTTGGACCAGATGGTGAATCGCAGTTGCTTCCCACAAACATAATCAAATCGCAGAAGACCCCGCCTAAATTGTATTGTAAGGCAAAGCAGGTGCTTGGCAAAAGCTTGGGCACTTTATTGGCGGAGACCAATAAAGGGAGAGCAATTTTGGATCAAGGAAAAAAACAGATGTCTCTAAGCCAGGATATGAAGAACGATCTTATAAGCATTATCCTTGAGGAGACCTTCTCAACAGGGATAACTATCAAATATTCCGATTTTAGTCTGTTGCTGGACGAAATTTGCTGTCACTTACCTGGCGAAGAGAAATGCAAGGTAAAATTTAAGCGAAGAGCTTTTAATATTAATTTTTACTGATATTTTTATTCAATTTTATAGGACTATTACTTCATTTCCCGAGACGGTAAAAAAAATCCATCGGGCAAATTGTATTCTAAATACAAAAATCGAAGATCAAGGATCAAGCAAAAACTGACACAAAATGAGTTGTTTGAATATGATGAAGATTTGGAAAACCAAACCCCCGAAGACTCAGAATCTGATCGTATCGAACTTTCTCTGAAGCTTTCTCTTAATAGAGATGGTGACAACTGGGACTTAGTGTGCGAGAAATGGAAAAAGACCTTCCATCTTCGCCAACAAGAAGCCAAACAACTTGACAGCCAAGAGTTTTTCACAGTCTGGTCAAAATTTGCCCACTCCCAGTCATCCGACTTGGTAAGTTTTTGCAAAACGGGCTAACATGTATTATATGTACATAAAACCATTTTATTTTTTACTTATAGATTGAAATTGATTTTGAAATCATGTATCCAGGGAGAAGTTCGTTTTTGTTTTCAAAATGGGAGACTTTCAAAAATAAAATCTTCAATTTCTATGACTACAACATTTCAAACGAAGCTTGTAAAGGGCTGCTTAAACAAACAAAATTATGCAAGAAAATTGGTAAATATTCTAATTTTTATATTTTGTCTTTATTAAATTAACTATTAACCATTTTGAAATTATTTTGCATGCATCAATAATATTTTATTAGTACAGAAAGTTGCATCTGTGTTAAAAACTGTGCTGTGTTATGTAATGTGTTTCTAATTTTATATTTTTTTCAGATTCCCAGGATTACTTAATCAGCATTCTTCTCTGCGCGGTTTTACCATCGACTGCGCGCTTCAAGAACGAGACAGGAAAACTCATGAAAAGAGCGACTATTCTAGACTCTCAAGAGAGTTTCGTTTTAAGATTGACAACCGTTAATGACTACATGGTCCAAATAGAGCGCATCATCTGTAAATATTATACATCAGGATTGACTCTACAGCCCTTTGTCATTGTCGTGGGAGTATCAGACGATGACATAGAAGAATTCTTTTTATATTTTGATAAGAACTTAGTTAAGTGTAAGTCCTTCCTTTATGCATTAGATTTATGCTTTAAGTCCTTTCAAATACTTTCGTTTGAATATCCCAAAGCCTCTTATGATCCATGGCTATTCATACAAAAGTATTTTTTTGAAATTGATACTAATTTTGATAAAAAGTCTGCAAATATTACGGCTTTAATGGACTATTTTAATAAATAATTTTAAGTCACATTTTACAATTCTTATAAGCAAGTCAAGATGAAGTTTCAATGTTTCCGATGCCACAAACGCTTTGCTAATGAGGATGTTCTTATATCTCATTTTAAAATTGATCATTTTCTAAAATCCAAGAATCCTAAAATAGAATGTATGCAAAATACTTGTTCTATGAGCTTTAATAATTTTAACTCTTTCAAAAGACACTTACAATGGACACTTACAACTTTGGAGGAGTCACAAGTTAACCTTTTTTTCTGTTTTGCCCTTTTTTGAGAATGGTCTTGAGCCTAGTTTAGAAGAGTCACGAGTTGAAATATTTTCCGTTTTGCCTTTTTTTGAGAATTGTCTTGAGCTTCAATATGTACACAAAATTGATCTCAGAAATTGATATTATATACTCATAACATTCATTCCAGAATCAATCCGCCATGTTCTATTTCTAAAAAGGCGGCTTTAAAATTTGCTAAGTTTTTGACAAGTCATGAAGTTTGAGTGGAACCAATTTTCTCTTTTTCTCATAGCTTAAATGTAGCTCTTAAGAACATTGACTATTTTGATAGAATTGTGAGCTGTGAATATGTAATCTGTTTGAGCAAGTTACGTATAAAGGTACAATATATAAGACAAAATATTTCCTTGTGGCTGGAGAAGTCCAAACAAAATTATTTAAAACTTTAAGTTTCTTAAATTTTGGTAATAACGTTTTTGTTGTTTGCGAAGAAATTCATTTATTAAGTTATGATAACCACTTCTGTGCATACCAAGTTGGAAATAGCACTGAAAATGTTTATGTAAAAAACATTCAAGAATTTATATCCCTTCCAATTCATGTCTATACTTTAAATAATTATAAGTCTTACATAAGGCTGAAGTATGTATAACATATAACGCAAGTTACAAAACTAATGTATGTATTATTTCCTTTTCTTAAATTTCCAGTATTGTACTACAATAAGAATCAACACACTCAATGATGCGATACATTAAAACAATAAAATCAAACAAAAATTAAATAAAAACCAGTTTTTTATTTCTGGAAGCCTAATGCCTTCTTAGTTGAAGAATTATAAGTTCTTATGTAAAGAACTTTTTCGGCTGGATTATGGAATTTTAAGTTCTTAAATGAAGCATGTTTTGTTCTTATTATAAGACCAAGTTATGTTAAAGATGATGCATTTTACAACATAAAATGAGTACATTCTGTTCTTGACTGTAGTATGAATAATTCTTTTCTGAAGAATAAATCCAGTTTAAAATAAGAATTATACATTTTTGATGTAAGCTGCATATCATCTTGATATAAGCATTGGCCATGGTTCGTTTAAGAACATTTTGGACCTGTTTCAATATTAAATATTGCTATATTTAAGAATTATTTATATTTCATTTTAGTTCAATATATACTTGATTTGAGAATTTGTAAACTTAATTCAAGTGCAATTCATACTTAAATAAAGTAGTACTTATACTTCAATAAAGAATATTGCCTACTTAAATCCAGTAGAATTCATTCTTGATTTTGCCGAAAATGTTCTCAAATTAAGAATGTCGGTTTAAGAATAAAACGTTCTTGAAATGAAAAAACAAGCCCATTTCGTACCTGTAGACCTTTCAAGACCATTTGGGCTTGAAACAAGCACAATGTGCTTGGTTTTTTTTCTGAGTGTAGGCATACGCCGCATATCGTGAAGGATTGGCTGCTGAATTATGCTCCATGTCAATTATTTTCACAACCACTAAGCCGGTACATAAGAATTATAGACCAGGATTGGGAAATTTTGAAGCAAAAATTTCGAAAGTTCTATGTAAAAAATCGTATGTACACCCAAAAAAAAACGGCGTGCTAAATTCAAATTTTTTATTATTGATTTTAATTTAATCCGAGATTCAAAATTTCAATCCCGTTTTGGATAAAAAAGGCCTAATTTTGTATTTTTTGGATTACTTTGAGCCCGAGAAATTTATGTTATCCTAAAAAAGATTGTATTAATACTTTTTTATCCGAATCTGGAATAAAAATTTGTACTTTAAGTCTGAAAAGATATATGTCATCCTAAAAAGATTAAATTATGACTTTTTTATCCGAACGGGATTAAATTCCGGGCTGTCATATAAAATTCGATCCGACTTGTTGGTTGAAAAAGATTTTTGTAAGATCCCAACAGGAATTCAAAACTGTTCACAAACCTGCTTTTTTTTATAAACCAAATGATTTACAAAACACTACTACCACGTTTAATGTTTTTAGTCTAAAGGAGCAACGTTGTTTTTTTTTCCAACAAATGGCACTGCATCGTACAGTAATAAAAACTAACTAATAAGGTAGCGCCATCTAAATGTGAAAATGTGTAAATTGGAAAACCTTAGCCAAAACTTTAATTTTCCGATAATTAAAGACCCCCAACTCATACCAACACTAATCGAACCAAACTGGTAACTTCTTGTGTAGACTGCTTTGACTCATACGTCAATAATTCAAAACGTAAATCAGTGCTATTTGAATTCAGTGTGTCCGAGAGTCAGATCACTGTGTGGAAAGTGATCCGGTAATAGTGAGGCCAAGCTAAGTTTTGATGAACTGAAAGACGAAGACTATACAACAATAATAGCTTTATTAGCAGAAGAAGCATTACAGTGTTTATGAGGTAAAATATACACATTTTCATTGGCAAAGCTGTTCAACATGTAAAGGCGTTGTTTTGTAAAATTAAAACCTTTTTTTGACTCTAATTTTTTATTTTCGTTTATAAATAGATTGTCAAGATTTAATTTGAAAATGCTGACTAACATGCGCAAATCCACGTTAAGGCCTTAAGGGATAAATTGCGCCTCACTCTTTTAAAAAAATAATGGAATGAAAAATAATTGACCAACAAATTTGTTTTAAGAACAACTCACCACCCCACATCCAAATCCAGGATCCGCCACTGCTGCTTACAATTCTCAGCCCAATTCAAATCGAGTAACAATGGAAAGAGGAGTGAAAAAGTGACCCTTGCTGGCGCGGAGGAAAAATTATTTTTTCAGCTGACAACAATATTCAAATTTTTGAAATTTTGTATCGGTTTTTGGGTTTTTGGATTGGAATTTTATTGGAATTTATATAATCTCGGCCGAGCTCAATTCAAGAACGTTTGGGATAAAAATTATCCCGTTTTTCGGGATTGAAACTATCCCGTTCGGGATTAAATTTAGTACACTCAAAAAATTTTTTTTCCTAAATTTTAGAAAATCGCCATAAAATGAAATTATTTCTTAATTTTAGAAAATTTTCTGAATTTTAGAAATTGTTTTCTTGAATCTAGGAAAAAAGACCATAAAAACAGAATTTTATGAAAAACCTTTCTAAAATTTAAAAAAATGATTTTTTTTCTTAAATCAATGGTGTTATTTCCTAGTTTGCTCTCCAAAAGTTTTCTTAAATTAAAGGCGATTTCGCCATTAAATTAAGAAAAAATGTACTTCAACCCTTCCTAGAATCTAAAAAGTCGCCATAAAAAATACGGTAAATTTTTCTAAATTTTAAGAATTTTTCTGAATTAAAAAAAAATTTTTCTTGAAAACAGAAAAGTAGAATTATAAAATCACCATAGATTTAAGAAAAACTTTTTGTATTTCTTTTATGCTTCTCATTCTTTCTTCGAAACGAAAAAGAAGAAGACAGGGGGTTAGTCGGCGGCGCGTTGCGACGACAGTTTTTGGCGTATGTATGTACATGTTTATGTGTGTTTGTGCGTATGATCGAGAATTTTCTTGTGCGTAGCTGTAACTTTTATTGCGTTGTTGTTTTGGAAATGCAGTCTCTCGCGAGAGAGTTGCTTGCGTTGCGCTGCATTTTGAACCCTTGTGCTCAGTTTTGGATGAGCATTCAAAGTAATAAGTTTGTGTTGAGCCTATTTAAGAAAGTTAAAGTGCGATCCCTCTAAGAGGCAATTAATAGGTAAGCAATTTAAATAAATTTAAATATAAATTTGGTAAGTGTGTGAAAATTTATGGTAAGCAAAGGGCATACTATTGCAGGCCGCAAATACCATCCTTCTCTAATATTAATTTTTATTTTCGATTGCAGGAATAATTTCAATTTCAGGTATTGTTGATAATTTGGCAGTAAGTAAGTAAATTTTAATAATCGGTAATATATTAAATACCTACTTAATATTAATATTTATAATATTTTATCTTTTTTGTTTTCTTTTCTCTTTTTTGTTTAGGAAATATTTATAATGTCATTTTTATCTTTTTTTGTTTTCTTTTCTCTTTTTTCTTTAGGAAATATTTATTATCTTATTTTTATCTTTTTTGTTTTGTTTTCCTTTTTTGTTTAGGAAATATTAATAATTTTCTTTTCATCTTTTTTATTTTCGTTTTCTCTTTCTTGTTTAGGAAATAAAATAGTAAAATAAATATGTATACATTTTATTAAAATAAAAAAAAATTTTCTGAAAATAAAACAAGTCCTTTCTTATTTGAAGAAAAAAAATTCTATTTTCAAGAAAAGTACTTTCTGGATTTAAGGAAATTTTCGCAATTTTATGGCAATTTTTCTTGATTTTAGAAAAGTATTTCTGCTTTTCAGAAATTTTATTTCTAAATTTTAGAAAATTCCTTTCTAAAAAATACGGTAAATCGCCATCGACTGAAATTCATGGCGAATTTCTTGATTTAATGGCGATTTCGGGCTGTTTTTTTTTTTTGAGTGTGGGCACTCACACAGTTTCAATATGCGGTGTATACATTAATTTTTCATTAATGCCACAATACTTGTTGTCCAAATTAAATTATATTTTTAATTCCGCTTTCATTTCAACCGCAAATCTGAAACAATGTGGGAACGAAGTTTCTTTTTATCATTTGGTAGAGCAATTCAAGGTATTAGAAAATGGAATAATGCTAAAAGTAAATAATGAATTTAGAAAAGTTTGTTTTGTTTTGTCGTTAATAGTCGGCGATAATTTAGCAGTCAATAGCATTCTGGGATACGTTCAGTCCTTTAACTCAAAACGTTATTGTACACTGAGAAAACTTCAGAACGAAAAAACCAAGAACGAATCTTCTTGATTTCAGTGTTTTGTCTTTTCACTTTTTTTAGCACAATCGTTCTTGAAATCAAGAATAAAAGCATTCTTGATCTGGCTTTTTGAGAATACATCATTCTCGATTTCGTTTATCAAGCAAGAACACTATTGAAATCGTCCCCAAGCATTCTTGAAATCGTTCTCAACTTCGTGTCAGAGATGAAAAAAAATGAGAGAGATTAAAAATGAGAGAGAGCTTCCGAAGTTCACTTCGGCTCTCGTCAAATGCTCGTTTTTTTTCGGCCAGTAAAGCGGAGTAAACACGCGGACGAC